GACGACACCTGAATAGGCTTGCGCCAGAAGCTGCGCCACAACCCCTGCGCCCTACAATCCAAGGCAGAAGCCCCGGTTTCCAACCCAAGCTGATCCCTGTTCGTTCGCCATGACTAAGGGAATCCTTTTGAGTTCCTTTTCCTCCGCTTACTTATATGCGTGAATTCGGCGGGTTCACTTGTCTGACTTCATGCTAGAAAGTGTTCAAGACACCAGATGTTGATTTGCCCGACTGAAAAAGACATGAAACGTTGATCAGTCAACCCACTGGGCAATGCTTTATACTGAGCATGCCAATGCAAAGTATGCAGTAGCACACAGCAGCACCACCCCTTGAAAGGAGCAGCAGGAATAGGACAAATAGAAGCACTGAAGCAGACATGCTCTCAGGCAAGGCATATCCCATGAACGCAATGCACGTTCAAGAGGCCATTGGTTCACGGAGTTCTGCAATTCACAACTTTTATCGCACTTCGCTGCGCCTTTCACAGGTGCTCGAGCCAAGATATCCGTCGCTGAAAATTGCGCAAACTCGATTGCAAGAACATGCTGGAACAAGTGCAGCTGTCAATAGTGGAAGGTCCAAAAGGGACCAATGACGATGGGCAATATAGCCAGAACATACACTCTGGGTGCAGCTCCGAGTACGCCCACTGGTCCATAGCTTCCACTTGCGTTCGAAGAAACACAAGCAGTCGCACTCAGCAAGGTTCACGAACTGAATTGGATAGTGCTAATGATCCTTCCGCAGGTCCCCCTCTTACTTAGGTCTATTCGTTGAGGTGTTTGGGCCTAGAAATCAAGGAACTGTGGCTCTCGATCTCATGAAGTTTAAGGTCTGCGAGATTTAAAGCTTAGGGCAGCCCGATTTGGCCAGATTTTCCGCGGCACTTTGTGAAATCCCTATGCCTCGTTTTGATTGGTATTTACCACACTTCCGAAGGGTGGCAGCCCGATTTGGCCAGATTTTCCGCGGCACTTTGTGAAATCCCTATGCCCCGTTTTGATTGGTATATACCACACTTCCGAAGGGTGGCAGCCCGATTTGGCCAGATTTTCCGCGGCACTTTGTCAAATCCCTATGCCCCGTTTTGATAGGTATTTTCCACACTTCCCAAAGGTAACAGCCCGATTTGGCCAGATTTTCCGCGGCGCCTTGTCAAACGGGGCAAAGGGATTTGACAAAGTGCCGGGGTCTCTGGCCAGGCCTGAGGCCGGAAAGGAATTAATATTAAAATATTAAAGTTTTTTAAATATTAAAGTCCCGGGCCGGACGTTAATATTTCAATATTCAAGGTTACTTTAATATTAAAATATCAAAAATATTAAAGTCCTGGGGTCTCCGGCCAGGCCTGAGGCAGCAAAGGACTTTAATATTAAAATATTAAAGTTTTTTAAATATTAAAGTCCCGGGCCGGACTTTAATATCTTAATATTCAAGGCTTGACTTTAATATTAAAATATTAAAATATTAAAGTCCTGGAGTCTCTGGCCAGGCCTGAGGCAGAAAAGGACTTTAATATTAAAATATTAAAGTTGTTTAAATATTAAAGTCCCGGGCCGGACTTTAATATTTTAATATTCAAGGCTTGACTTTAATATTAAAATATTAAAATATTAAAGTCCTGGAGTCTCTGGCCAGGCCTGAGGCAGAAAAGGACTTTAATATTAAAATATTAAAGTTTTTAAATATTAAAGTCCCGGGCCGGACTTTAATATTTTAATATTCAGCCTCAGGCCTGGCCAGAGACCCCAGGACTGTAATATTTTAATATTTTAATATTAAAGTCAAGGCTTGAATATTAAAATATTAAAGTCCGGCCCGGGACTTTAATATTTAAAAAACTTTAATATTTTAATATTAAAGTCCTTTTCTGCCTCAGGCCTGGCCAGAGACCCCAGGACTTTAATATTTTAATATTTTTAATATTTTAATATTAAAGTCAAGCCTTGAATATTACAATATTAAAGTCCGGCCCGGGACTTTAATATTTAAAAAACTTTAATATTTTAATATTAAAGTCCTTTTCTGCCTCAGGCCTGGCCGGAGACCCCAGGACTTTAATATTTTAATATTTTTAATATTTTAATATTAAAGTCAAGCCTTGAATATTAAAATATTAAAGTCCGGCCCGGGACTTTAATATTTAAAAACTTTAATATTTTAATATTAAAGTCCTTTTCTGCCTCAGGCCTGGCCGGAGACCCCAGGACTTTAATATTTTAATATTTTTAATATTTTAATATTAAAGTCAAGCCTTGAATATTAAAATATTAAAGTCCGGCCCGGGACTTTAATATTTAAAAAACTTTAATATTTTAATATTAAAGTCCTTTTCTGCCTCAGGCCTGGCCAGAGACCCCAGGACTTTAATATTTTAATATTTTAATATTAAAGTCAAGCCTTGAATATTAAAATATTAAAGTTAGGGCCAGAGCCGCCGAACATTAAAATATTAAAGTCCCAGGGCCAAACCAGGGCCAAACCACATTATACATATTTTTCCTTCTTACGGGGGGGGGGGGGGGGGTGGGGGGTCGGTGCACAACTTTTTCATGGAGGAGGCGTAAACGCACCGACCATAGGCGGTTCACCACAGAGGGTAGGGGCTCCTTTGGCAAAACCCCACCCCCACCCCGCCCAAAAAAACAGCAGAGGCCAAGACACTTGCCCCCAAAACAACTTGCAGAGTTTTTTAAGGTTCAGGGCTTCGGGCTGGGGGGGATTTGAGCTTTGGGCTAAACCCTCAACCTCTCCTACCATATAATTATAAACCTTAATGGTCTTCGTGGGCAAGGCCCAAATATTCGTGGGCAAGGCCCAAAGATTCGTGGGCAAGGCCCAAATATTCGTGGGCAAGGCCCAAAATCCTGATTTTAGGCCTTGCCCACGAATTTTTGGGCCTTGCCCACGAGTTTTTGGGCCTGTTGGTTAGTGGGCAAGGCCCAAAAATTCGTGGGCAAGGCCCCAATATTCGTGGGCAAGGCCCAAATATTCGTGGGCAAGGCCCAAAAATTCGTGGACAAGGCCCAAGGCCCAAAAATGGAAACCCTAAACGCTGGCCCTGAAACCCTAAACACAGGCCCTGAGGCCCTGAAACCCTAAACACAAGCCCTGAGGCCTTGAAACCCTAAACGCTGGGCCCTGAAACCCTAAACACAGGCCCTGAGGCCCTGAAACCCTAAACACAAGCCCTGAGGCCTTGAAACCCTAAACGCTGGGGCCGTGAAAAGGCCCTGAGACCTTGAAACCCTAAACACAGGCCCTGAGCCCTTGAAACCGTAAACGCTGGGCCCTGAAACCCTAAACACAGGCCCTGAGGCCCTGAAACCCTAAACACAGGCCTCAGGGCCCGTGTTTAGGGTTTCAGGGTTTCAGGGCCTGCGTTTAGGGTTTCAGGGCCCAGCGTTTCGGGTATCAAGGCCTGTTTAGGGTTTAGGGTTTAGGGTTTAGGGTTTAGGGTTTAGGGTTTAGGGTTTAGGGTTTAGGGTTTAGGGTTTAGGGTTTCGGGTTTAGGGTTTAGGCCAGGCCTGTGTTTAGGGTTTCAGGGTCCAGCGTTTAGGGTTTCAAGGCCTCAAAGCCGTGTTTTCTCAAGTTTTTCAGGGTTTTTCAAGGTTTTTCATGTTTTTTTCAGGTTTTCCATGTTTCTTAGGGTTTTTTCAGGGTTTTTCTGAGGAAGGGCTGCCCCCGCGACCTTTTCACAACCTAGTTCTGGTGCTTAGGATTTCAGGGCCTCAAGGCCTGGTGAATTGAGAGGTTTAGAGCCTCTTGGGTCGGCGGCCTGAGCCGGAGGCTCCTAAATTTAGGGTTTAGGGTTTAGGGTTTAGGGTTTAGGGTTTAGGTTTTAGGGTTTAGGGTTTAGGGTTTAGGGTTTAGGGTTTAGGGTTTAGGGTTTAGGGTTTAGGGTTTAGGGTTTAGGGTTTAGGGTTTAGGGCTAGGCTTAGGTGTTTAGGACAGTCCAGTCATGGCTCAGGGCTCTCGTTTTCTTCGGGCCTCGGGCAGTTCAAATCAAGGCGAACAGTTGGGGGTTTCCGAAAATGGCGGGGGGTTTTTTGGGGCTCCCTTTGAGGGGAGTCTATTCTGTTTGGGGAATAAGAGGGGTGCCCCTATTTTGGGAAATGCCCGACAAAATTCTAAATGAAGCGATTACAACGCTAAGCCCTAAATCTAAGCCGTGTTTAGGGCCTAGGGTCTGGAGTCTGGGGTCACCTATACTTGAAGGTTCACTTGTAGTTACAAGTAGGGTTGTAAAGTAGGAGGGACAACCATGCTTGAAACCTTCCTTCGGTGACTTGCACCCCTACTTATCAGTACCCGGGTCCCCTTTGAGAGGCTAAACCCGAAACCCTAAACCCTAAACCCTGAACCCTAAACCCTAAACCCTAAACCCTGAACCCTAAACCCTAAACCCTAACCCCTAAACCCTAACTCTTTTCAGGAGGAGATGGGGGGTCACGACGTTCCTGCAGGCGCACGCGCAGATGCAAATGATGATGATGCCGTAAACGAGACCTGGCCACGAAGAGTCAAAAGAAGGAGGATCCCAAAAGTAGTTTAGGGCTCAGGGTTTAGGGAGAATCCTGGGAAAATCCAAGAAGTAGATATCCTCTTAAAGACAAAAAAAGTAGTATAGGGTACTCTTCGGGGTGGTTCTACTTCTTGGATCCTGCCAGGAGTGAATACAGGGGCACATGGTGAGTTCTCCACATGATGGCCCCGTTTTGGGTAGCCTAAATAAGAGGGGCCGCCTTATGAGAAGGACCGCAACAGGACCATGTCTTTAGGCCATACAAGGGGTATATGAGGGTTTCCCACTCATGGGCCATGTAACTTGCCTCAGAAAGCGGGTAGGCTCAACCCTCAGGGTTTACTGGGAGGTTCATGGGTACTTAAGACCCCAATTCTAAGTCTACTTACAACCAGCTACAGTTCATAATTGGGGTAAGTACCCTTGGACCTCCAAGTAGGGCCTCGGGTTTTGGATCGGGCCCTGAGGGTGTCCGCCTGTGCCAAGGAACCCGAAGAAGTTAAGCGACATCCTGATTTTATGGGTTCCCCCCGACCCCCCTCTATACTACCCCGCCCCTAGGTTCCCCCCATTCCCACAATTAAGGCTATTTTGGGAGAATTAAGCCGAATTAAGGTTATTCAAGGGGGAAATTTGGGGGGGGGGGGGGGGGGTAGTGTATAGAGGGGGCTAGTGATGATTGGTGTATCGGCTTTTGGGGAACATTCTGTTGTGAGTTTCTTAACCAAAACCTTAACCCTAAAGCCTAAGCCCCTAAACCAGCACAGAAAAAGACTCCCCTAAGAGGGCAATATAGGGATCATTATGCTTCATTCTTTGGGGTGGTTCTTAAGCAAATAGTACCCGAAACCCTACACCCCAAACCCCTAAACCCCAAACCCTAAACCCCAAACCCCAAACCCTAAACCCCAAACCCTAAACCCTAAACCCTAAACCCCTAAACCCTAAACACCCCACATGCCATAGGCTTGCCTGCGATGAGGTCGCTCTGGTCATCGAAGCCGAGGAGTCGATGGCCCCAGCCGATGTCCAGGTCAAGGAGCTGAATTAGCCTCGGGTTTTTTGGGGGGGTTTGGGGTTTAGGATTTAGGGTTTAGGGTTTAGGGTTTAGGGCTTGGGGTTTAGGGTTTGGGGTTTGGAGTTTGGGGTGCGGGGTTGGGGCTTAGAGTTCAGCATCTCTAGTTCAAGCATTCACTAGTCCAGCAGCTTGTCACAAGACCCACAACGTGTTGGAAAGTGTGCGATCTGGCTTGCTTTCAGCAGGCGGAAACCCGTGAGCCCCTGAATCTTAAACCCTAAACCCTAAAAACCCTAAAAACCCTAAAACCGAAACCCGAAACCCGAAACCCTAAACCCTAAACCCTAAACCCTAAAAACCCAAACAGGGCGCATCAAGGGACCCCCTTTGAGCAAGGATCCCTTGGCAAGGGCTTGTGAGAGGAATCCGAGTGCCGGCAGGCTTAGGGCTGAGGGCTGAGGGCTGAGGGCTGAGGGTTGAGGGCTTAGGGCTTAGGGCTTAGGTCTTAGGTCTTAGGGCTTAGGGCTTAGGGCTTAGGGCTTAGGGCTTAGAGTTTCCTAAGCCCTAAACCCTAAACCTACAAGTTGGGATGCCTCAACCTGAACCCTCAACCCTGATTCACTGAACCACAGACCCCCCGAACCCTAAACCCTACAATCCCTCAACCCTCAACCCTAAACCCTAAACCCTAAACCTCTCCAAGACCCCTGAAGCCCCCCCAAATCCCAACTTTTCGGCCGTTCCGGCTCTCGCGGCGCCTGAGCAGGTCAAAGGGAAACTTGCCAGCCGTCTGGTGGCGTGTGACCATTGTGACCACTGCTGCTACAGGTCCTTTTTTGGGGTACCCTAGAATATTAGGTGTTGAGTTTAGGGTTCAGGGTTCAGGGTTCAGGGTTCAGGGTTTAGGGTTTAGGGTTTAGGGTTTAGGGTTTAGGGTTTAGGGTTTAGGGTTTAGGGTTTAGGGTTTCGGGTTTCGGGTTTAGGGTTTCGGGTTTAGGGTGTTAGGGTGTTAATCCGTCAGAGCCACGTCGCGGCTTCGGCCTCGAGGCACTTGCGGTTTCTCAAAAGCCGCAAGATATTTTCAAACACACTTCCAAGGCCAGGGGCCCGATCTTCTTGCACCCCGTAGATACCCAACTCGTAAAGGCTGTACTTGGAGTACTTGCTGACCAAGTTATGACTCTCTACTTAGAACTGTACTTAGGAACCCTTTTTAGGGTTTTTTTTAACGTTAAAAAACCCTAAATATGACTCTACTTGTAAGTGTACTTGGGAACCCTTCTAGGGCACTTCCAAGGGGCTCAGAAGTGGCTAATCCCTAGACCTGCGGGGGGAATCCCGGAAGCTCCTTGATTAAATCCAAACTCTGAGTGACTAAGGCATTTTCGCCTTTGAAATACCCCAGGCCAAACCACAACTGATAACAAGGACGGCGAACAGCCTTCAAAGAAAAAGCTGCCGAATTCTCCTAGAAGACTCCCCTGACCACCTAAACCTGAACTTCTGAAACCACCCTGAACCAAGAAGAACCTACACCCTTACCCCTCACACTGGGCCTTTGACAACGGGGCCCCCTGGCCTGGGCCCAAAGGCAGAATTCAAGGGGGGGTTTGGGGTTTAGGGTTTAGGGTTTAGGGTTCAGGGTTTAGGGGGGCATCAGGGGTCGAGGATTTAAGGGAAGCACGCGGGTTTTGGGGCCCCATTGGGCCCTCAAGCAACCCAAGAGACTCCGACGGCCTCTTAAGACCAAAGAGCTCCCCCCCACACTCATATTGGGGGGTGCCCTTGCACAACCTAACGAATATTCTTGACCCTAAACCCTAAACCCTAAACCCTAAACCCTAATAAAGACATGATAGGATCCCTAAGCAAAGCGAGCATGCTGAGCAGGAGTCTCTGGGCAGACCGGCGCCTCAGATGCTGAACTCCATCTCCGTCTGGGCGCGGCTGGACAAAAGGGGTTTGGGGTTTAGGGTTTAGGGTTTAGGGTTTAGGGTTTGGGGTTTGGGGTTTGGGGTTTAGGGTTTAGGGTTTAGGGTTCAGGGTTTGGGGTTCAGGGTTTGGGGTTTGGGGTTTAGGGTTTCGGGCTTAGGGTTTGGGGCTTGCGTGAAAGGCTCCAGGATCCGAGTGAATGACTTCGACGTCGGGTTTTCGACAAGATACCTCGACCTAGGGCACTTGTAGCCCTACAAAAACCACCTTGCCTGCAAAGTTCCCCTAGCTTGCAAGTGGGGCACAAAGGTTCCCAGAAACCCCAAACCCCAAACCCCAAACCCCAAACCCTAAACCCTAAACCCTAAACCCTAAACCAATATCAAGCCTTCGGCTTCGCAAGAAGCCCGTCGGCATTGTTGCTTTCAGGCCGCTTTTCTCTAGGGGCTCTACCTTGGACTTAAGGTTGTACCCTTAGGTTTTGGGGGAACCTTTTTAAGGATCTCTAAAGGGAATATACAGGGCATATTGGGGGATCTACTAAGGGGAACCTTTAGGGGTACAGCCTTAGGGGTGCGAGTCTTCATCCCTTGATGTTGGCGACCTGGGCTTGAGAAAGACGGGTTGAGAAAGACGCTCACGCCGCAACAAAATCGGGATCTAGAAAGGTGGCTTTGCTTTCGAGGCAGGCCGCATGTCGCAGGGGGGCCTTTGCTTCATGCACCAGAAACCCTAAACCCTAAACCCCAAACCCCAAACCCCAAACCCCAAACCCCAAACCCCATACCCTAAACCCCAAACCCTATACCCTAAACCCTAAGCCTTAACACAAAAATTAGAGTCCAGCAGAAAGCTTGCAGAAAAAAACAGAGGAGGCCCATGATGCCCAAAAGGCTCCAAATGCTTAAAGGGCTAAGGGCTAAGGGCTTAGGGCTTAGGGCTAAGGGCTTAGGGTTTAGGGTTTAGGGCTCAGGGTTCAGGGTTTAGGGTTCAGGGTCCGCCGACCCTGGCGGCGTGTTGGATGGGAAAAGGAGGTGAAAACCTCCCTCTTTCCCTCCTTACCCCCCCAAAACGCGGGGGGGACGGGGGGGGGTGGGGGGGGTCGGTGCACAATTTTTTTTCGTGGAGGACCGCGCAGCGAAACAGGGGGTTCAGCACGAGGGGGTAGCGTTCCCCCCCCCCCCCCCCCCCCCCCCCCCCCCCCCACCCACCTGTCTTTTTGGCTTGAGCTTGTCCTGTGCGACCCCCAACCCCCCCCAAACGATTCACAGAACTCTGCCAAGCAGGTTGGGATGATCTTCCATGCGAGCGGGTCTCAACTATGCTCCAGCGGGGTCGGCGGCTTGAGCCGGAGGCTCTTAAATTTAGGGTTTTGGGTTTTGGGTTCTGGGTTTTGGGTTTTGGGTTTACCCCTGAAAAGGCCGTCCACAGATAAGCTTAAACATCTTTAGAACAATGATCGTTTTTGCGTAAAAGTCGGCTTAAGGGATCATTTTTGAATAAAGCAGTCTTAAAAATGGCAACTGTTGCTGCAAATTCTTTACAAAAATACCCTTGTAAGCATGAAAAAACCCTGTCCTTGCAAAGCCGACCGCATTCTCACGGAGTGGAATCGAGTCCCACCTATAACCCGAGGCCGAAGCCAGCTTGACATCAACCCGAAACCCGAAACCCGAAACCCTAAACGCCTGCAAAAGCCTGACAAGCCTGTGAAAGCCCAAGGAGTGGAACCCTAAACCCTAAACCCTAAACCCTAAACCCTAAACCCTAAACCCTAAACCCCAAACCCAACTTCGAAAGCCCGCGCTGCCACCCCTGTCTTGGGCTCTGAAGCCTCCTGAGCGGGCATGTCCCGCCAAGCGGCTGAAATCGGAGCTGGCAATGCAGACGGTGGTGGGTGCCTTATGAGATACGCGCATGAAGAGCAATCACCATTCATCAAAAGGAAACGCAGACATATCTCTATATATATATATATGTATAAACATGTATACATATATATATATATATATATATATAAGGTGTGCATGCAGACAAATATGCCATGTAGGCAGATGGATGTAGAGCTAAGATACAGAAACCATGCACACGGGTAGATACTTCTCAAGGTCATCCAGCGTTTCAGGGGACCCTCGCCCAAGGGTGTGAACCAGACTGGGGTTGTCAGCTACGTGGGAAAGGGCGGGGGGGGCTTGAAAACCCTAAACCCTAAACCCTAAACCCATTTGTTCAAAGGCAGGCAGGGTGGGGGTTGAGGATTTCGGGTGTAGCATTTCTGAACGTACGGGTGAAGAGTGTTCGGGCTTAGGGTTTGGGGTTCGGGGCGTCGGGCTGGCAACTGGAGTTTAGGGTTTAGGGTGGTTAGGGTTTAGGGTTTAGGGTTTGGGGTTTAGGGTTTAGGGTTTAGGGTTGAGGGTTGAGGGTTTAGGGTTTAGGGTTGAGGGTTTTGGGTTTAGGGTTTCGGGAGTCTGGTAAGTCCGCCGGGCCACGAAGCATCCGACTTGCGCAGACGGGGCCATTGGCACAGCGCGGCCTAGTCTCCAGGTTGAGGGCTTTTGGGGTTTTCAAGGTTTCTCTTAGCGTTTTTTGAGGATGTTTCGAGGGCTTTTTGAGGGCTGCTTGAGGTTTTGAGGGTTTTTTGAGGGTTGTTTGAGGATGTGTTGAAGGTTTTTTCAGGGGTTTTTGAGGGTTGTTTAGGGTTTTGTTGAGGGAGGTTTGGTTCTGTAGGGCGTTGTTGGGCTTTGGGGTCCTCAGGGTTTAGGGCTTTTAGGAGTTTTAGGGGTTTTTGGGTTTAGGGCTTAGGGTTTAGGGGGTTTGTATGCGAGGTGTTTGCAACGTTCAGTGGGCCTTCATGTAGGGTTTGGGGAACACACTGAAGCAGGTCCAACATTAGGGTTTCAGGTTAGGAGAACATCATGCTTAAACCTCTCCTTCCAGGGACCTAACCGGAGGCTCTAGTCACCTAATCATTCGGTCTTTGGAAGGATACGGTTAGGGTTTGCAACGTTTAGGGTTTACAACGTTTAGGGTTTAGGGTTTAGGGTTTAGGGTTTAGGGTTTAGGGTTTAGGGTTTAGGGTTTAGGGTTTAGGGTTTAGGGTTT